TCCTTGCAGAAGAATTAACCCTCTGCAGGAGCAGTTCGACTCTGGCTCTGTGCATCAGGGAAGGACATGCTTCCTGGGCTGAATTAGAAACGTTAAGTGGCTTATCTTACTGATTGCAACCAACCAGCGCAGCACAACTAGCAAACATCAAACATTCACGAGCACACTATATGCAAACAACTTTAAAGAGTTAAACACATTAATTTAGCATATTTCATTAGCACACAGGAGGAAATTGTCTCTTCACAAACATTTTACAACCCACCAGAGGCTAGGTCTCTTGACTAAACTACTCCTTGCAAATTCTCACCAACATTTAGCAGTCATCCCCATTAGTTACTGTTTTGAGGGAGAATGAGTACACATTCCACAACCAGCAGTTTCTTTTCTCCACTCTCCCCTAAAGCTCCTACTTTGATTATTAACTTGCTTGAAATATGTTAGCTAGGAGGATGTAGGCTTTGCATTCTTATAGCAGTTTCATTTGGAAACTTTGCATCTTTGTAGCTAGAGGATTCAAACTCCTTGATGCGTATTTGCAGCTGTATCAGCTAAGCAGTCAGTTCAGACTCATAGGAGAAGGCACCATCTACTTTAAGGATCCGTATCAGCATATAACCTTACTGATGGTACCATCTCCGGTGAAAGCTATATCTTCATCTCATGAGCCTTTTCAGCATTCCTGTAGAGAAGCCCTGTGAGGATCAAGCCATGCTCAACATGGGTATGGGTGGCAGGGTCTCACTCTTAGGAGATAACTCTTTCAAATCAGCTAGCCAAATATCTTAGTAGTTTAAAAGGGGTCCTGAAGTTGGATGGCTTATTCCTTTTCCAGTGAAGGCTCAATTATATGTAGCATTCAGTTGTGGCACCTCATGGAGTCAATGTCCTTTATGACAGCAGAGTTTTCTTTCTGGCCCATAAGGATTTTAGAATTTTTTATGTACTCACTCAGCTGAAGGATTGAAGTGAACAGGGCATACCAGGGAGTCCAGTAGCACATTAGTAACTCTGAAAGTTAAGTTTCATTAAGACTGTGGCCACCTACTACTTATTGATATGAAACAGTACATATAAATATGAAGTAATAAATATATAGGCGGGGGGGAAATGCAGCTGGAACCTTTCAACTGATCATTGCTTATTCTGTCTGCAAAATTCTACTTAAGCACAATTTGTATATACACCCACTGCAGTAAACTGGTCTGGGTCTCTGTTTTTTTTAATATAGGACCATGTCAAGAAAGATGCTCCACAGTGGGAATATTTACACCACTATTATCACCACTTGTATTCCCTAATTAAAATGCAGACAAAAAAAAAGTTGTTTTTTTTTTTTTAATTCTACAAATGCTTCTTAGAAATTCAGAAGGAGTTATCCTAAAAAGACCCATTCAGAATTTCCTGGCTCAAAATTTGATAATTCATTTTTATTTTGGTTAATTATGATTAAACTATTCAGTGTTTAAAAAAAGAAAAAACAAGGAATTCAACATTTGGGAGAAACCCTACAACAACGGCATACAAGAACTTTCTCTCAAACTGCAATGTATCATTTCTCTTAATTACATCAAATGTTAAAGTGAGTATGAAAAATATCTCAGCTGAGCACTTTACAAAGACGACACTATAGTTTATGAACTATATACACACACGCAAATTAAATTTTTAAAAAGCCCATTAACACCACCACTTTGGAACAATGTTTCTCTGCCTTCCTCTTCTCCAAGAAAGCTTTGCTAGGCACCCTTCCCTTCCTCAGCCTCTCTCCACTGTTCCCTCTATTTACCCATACCTTCTTCTCCTGATTTTTGAACAGTCCTCACAGTAGGGACCATTTCTGCAAAATGCTGCAGAGGTTGCTTCCTACAACTGTGCTGGCAAGCCACAGACATCACCGAAGTTGTTCATGTGCTTTAAGTTAGGACCATAAGTGTTGGGGATTGGCATTCAAGAGAGTCCCATGAAGTCTGACAAACAGTGCCTTGAGTTTTTAGCAAGAGTCTGTATCTTGGTCATTTATGGTGCCTGTATTACAATTTTTGCATTTCACTTGGCTTTTTCAAGATTGTGCTAGCTAATGCTTTTAGTTTTCATACAGTTTTCTTTCTGGCTTTCATATTGAGGTCATCCTGCTTGTACAGAACACCCCATAAGGAAAAAATTAAATCCATAGAAGATGATAATCCAGTCCTATTTATTTCCTGCAGACAATGTTTTTAGATTTGGATACTACAACTAATCTCAAAAATCTGTGTTTTGTTGGCTAGGTTGAAAATAAGATGTCTTACATGAATACTTGTAGGTGCCACTCTTTTCAATGGGAGTAGCTGGTACTACCTCAAAAAGATACATCTGATGATAGTGGATTTTGCCATCCAACTTTAGGTGCTCAGATTGAGAATTTTGGCTCTAATGTTTGCTGCAACCTTAGGTTTGGGTCCAATCCACCTGACAGTGTCCCTTTAAGCAGGAGCTTCCCCATAGCTGCATTCTCTGATCCCGAGATGCTTAGGATGCTTTTCATATACTACAGTTTCTGAAGGTCAATGCATACACATTTTAACACACAGTGATAAGACAGTGTATGGAACTACTTGGCAGTATTTAGCTGGTACAGTTTCTTGTGGAAACAACAGAATTCCAAAACACACCACACCGAATGCTTATGGGTTATTACAAGCAAAAATCCCAAGACACCGGGAATTAAAAAGCGGAGTTCAACAAAGGAACACTGATACCATTGGTTGATATGAACAAAGTTGTGCCAAGTCTTCCTTCTTTGCTTTTTCAAGTGGAGAAATAAACTGGGAAAGGAAGCAGAAGGGGAAAAAAAATAAAAAAGACATAAACCAACAGTTATTAGAGTTACTGTTAAGCTTTATCTCACAGAAGCATGTGCTCTAAGAGAATGGCAAACACCTTTAACACATCTTTGCTGAAAGAGCATGACGTGTCTTGAACACAGTATGCCTTCCTAGCTGGAATGGGGATGCTCCTCCTGTGTCAAAAGGAGTTTGGAGGGGGAACTGGAGTGGAAAGCAGGGGAGACTGTGGCTCAAAAGATAGAAAGGGCAAGGACTGATGGTGCTGTTAGCTGCAATCCCCAGCTCCAGCAACACCTGCAGTCCCAGATGTTATAACTCTTCCTTCAGAAGGGATCCAGCCTGCTTTTGCAGGGCCCCACTACCACAATAGTAGGGACCCTGGCTTGGGCTATTTCACCACCCATGGTAACTTGCTGCTGTGAGGAACTGCCCAATTTATCTGCATCTATAGCCAGCCCTGCATGGAAGGTATGATCTTGCTCCCATTCAAATCAGTGACTGGAGAAGTCAGGCAGGCCTTGTCTGTGACAGCACTTGGATGCTTGATGTCAAGAGTATTTAAACATGTACTTGAGAGCTACTGTAAATAAATACATCGAGTTCAATACAGAGGGTCCTTCCTGAAGCTGCAACCTTTAGGCACTGTTACAGAAGGATCAAATAGACTGAAAAAATAATTTAAGATCCAGAGCTTAAGTACATTTAAATCTCACTAGACTTGCACTAGATCTCACTATGGTAAGCCATAACCTGGGTTTGATGATGTGACACTCAAGTGTGTGATTAAATAGCCTAAACCCAACCCAAGCCATGTCAAACCTGCTATGTCTATTTCTAAACTTACCAGGACAGACATCCAACATTTAAAACCAGGAGGGAAACAATGTTATTACTTATATATATATGTTATTACTTATATATAATTTCAGCCTCAACTTCTAATGAGAAATTATGAGCTATCTCATCTGCTTTTTACTTTCTTGTTAAGATACACATAATGCTCATTGATGCATATATACACAGCAATCACTTCAATGGCTGCACATCCGCCTTCCCAGGTTGCTGCACTAGACTGCAGAACAAAGGCCCATCTTTCCCTTGAAGCCAGTTGCCTTGAGTACCCAGTTAATATAGTTAATTAATATCTAGCCATTTCCCATTCTTGCTGTATCAGTGTTATGAAACGCTACAATTATTCTGGGTCACTCTGGTGCCAGCATTGATAAGACTAATAAACTGCCACATGTGTCTCAATCCATTTAGTCATGTTTACAGGTGATTCTGTAAGCCTTCTTTGCAGAAGCAACAGAGGAAAATGGAAACATGCAGAATACAAGGCATGTAATTTGAGAGCTAGGAATTAATTCACAGCCACAGTCTAGCCTCCTGGTGAATCTCTTCTGGGTTACTACCTGGATTGTCTAACTCAAGAAATCTCCCTTTTAGGAGTTAATGCCATATTACAGTTATGTCACATAACGGCTGTTGCTAACACAGGGGTTACATAAATAAAATGTTCAGTTCCTGTCATTACAAGATTCCTGGCTCCCAACCAGCATGACTCCTATTATTCATTGATATGTTATCTCTCCTGTAACAAACGTGTGGAATGAGATGATCTTTCAAGACAAGAAATCATTAAGACTTTGGGCAATGTTTTAACAATATTCAGGTATTCAAGATGTAAAGGGATTTTCAGAAGCACCAACATCTCAAATTCCAGCTGATTTGGTGGGAACTAGGTACCTACATGCTTTTAAAAAATGCATCAGATGCCTGTTTGCCTGTGGACCTTCACCCTCTTTTTATAGGCTTGAGGTAATTCAAGCATTACTGTTCTCACTAGAAAACACCAGGACTGTGGCACTGGTTATAATGAAAGGAAGATACCTGAGACTGCACAAAAAATTCTATAAACATGAAAAGGGAGAATCTTTAATCCTAGGGAAAGTTATGCAACATGCTAATGTCATTAAAATGTCAACAAATTCTACCTATATAAGTGTCTGGAGAGTTTGCAGTAATTCTCACTATAACAGCATGACACTAGAAGGGGAATTTCACAAATTAATCAGTTTAAATAATTTTATATCCATTTTTGTTTGTTTGTTAATATATCAGCACTTCGTAAGTCACAGAGCTATCAACATCATAAATGAAAGAGAAAATTAATTACTCACTTATAATTATAATGAGAATGACTGCGCATACTACACCAAGGATGATCATCATCTATAAAAAGAAAATTATGAGGAAAAAAAAAGAGAAAGTCAGGTTTTCACATGAAAGACATTAACCCCTCAGGTTTTTTGCTTTTACTTAATGGCTCATTCCCTGCACTTTTAATTCGTGCAAAGACTCACTGCAACAGAGTTGTTAAGGCCCCAGATTTAGTGTCAATATTAGGAACAGCTGACCACTAGCAATGAACATAGCCTCTTCTGAAATAAAACAACTCCAGAGGTGATTTAAGTGGCTGGATTCACACATCGCCATGTACCACTTAAACCAGAGTGACTTGATCACTTTTCATCACATTCCCATAGTCAGGAAAGAGTCAGCTGGAGGTGCCTAATGCCTAGCAGGTATTTGTGCTGGCTTTGTGTACTTGTGCTGTTGAGAGAGGTAGACCATGCTAGCCAGCAGGGTTTCCAGTGTGTTAGCTAGGAAATAGCTCATTGCAAAGTTGAAGTCTGCTCCTACAGGAACAGATACATCAGAGCCAGCTGTGCACAGACCATACCAGCACTGAGTTGTGTGGGGTAGAGGCCCCCACATGCGACTTGCTGAATGCTAATGAGGTCACCAGAGATGCTGCAGTCCAGTTCCCATCAGTAGCCTAGTGAAAACGGAAAGACTGAAAAACAACAAGCACGGACATGTCAAATCAAGGGCTTCATTCCTCCCAACATATGTCTGGAGGACAGAGCCAGCCATTGGCTTGCAGGAGATTTATTTATTTTCCCCCCTCCTTCCAGAGTCTGGGAGCCAGAGAAAGGACAGGGGGATTCTGTTTGTCAGGGTAAAGCAGGAAGCGACAAGGAGGAAAGGAGAATGAGGGTAGGTTTGAAGGTCTAGTGTAGTGTAGGTCATTGTGGTGACTGCAGTCAGCATGGGTGAACCTAACTCAAAATCTGTGTCTAGAGCTTGCATTGTCAGGCAAAGCAACAGGGCAACAGCTAGAAGAGGCCCAGAGGAACTGCTCAGTTCAGTTTCTAACCTAGATCCACTTATTTCTGGAGTGTTGTACGTGTAGTTTTGCCAGAATATTTTGCCTTGCTTTACATTTCATAGCACTGTGGACTGAAGAGAAAAAGCAGGCAACAGACTGGTGAGACATACATGTGGGATTCTCCTTTGGGAACAGGTGGTTTTATTTGGGTGGACATGAATGGTCAGCAGCAAAGATGGTATTGAAGAGAAATGGAAATGAAGCTGAACTTTTGGCATAGTGTTCATGTTGGTGGTGCATGAGTAGAAAGAAGCAAGGATATGGGGTCTTATATGAATAAAAGGAGCTGAAGTTTCTGGGTCCAGAAAACACAAATCCTGGAAGAGATCTGAAAAAGAAAAGGAGAGTGAGGTTCCCTCTGCTCATGGGAAAGGATGAGACTTTGAAGACAGCAGAGGAAGAGCTGGTCGATTAAAGTCCTCCTCTACCTTAATCTGCCCCTCTTTTAAAGAGACTGTCATTTCCTCAGTTCTCATAGTGGTTTGTGGAACCAAGTATTTTTTTGGTAGTTTACCATCCTAAAGCAAGATCAAGAGGCTGATGATCTCCCACAAGGAAAAAACTTCTTTTCTCCCACTACTAGAATTCACTACACCTGTTCAGGTTTTGTGATTCACACAGGGAACTGACATGAATTAACATGGAATGCTCTCGCATCCCTATCTGCAGGCACTGACTGAAGCATCATAATTTGTATCTACATTTTATATACTGGAGAAATTATCTAAAGAATAGGTTCTGGTAAGGAGCAAAGTTGCCTGAGTTATTATCCTTGAGCGTAGAGGGCAAGGCATCTCTTTCTCCCCTTGAGACCACTTAGAGATGCCATCCTGCAAGCAAAGTCCCATTAAGTGCAAGTGAAACTAATGTCTGCTATGAAGTGATTCTTAACAAGAATTTATATTCCTTACCTTGCAATTTTTCCACCAGTATTTTCTCTTCAGTTTGGCTGCACTGGTTTCAAACTGTGAGGCACCTGCTTGCAATGCATCTGCCCGGTTGTCAAGCTCTGATAGCTTCTGGTCTCTTTCTAGCACCTTGTCCACATTCATTCTCATGATGTCTACCACCTGCAAAGGCACAGCTTCACATTAGATTCCACACACAGTAAAGCTGAAGGTCACCCATATGTTCACACTCTGGAATATCACATACCATACTGAAACCAGCCGTTTGCCATTATGGTATGTGATGGCAATTACCTGGACAGTGCCTCAAAAGCCATGCCTATGGAAACAGACACAGTGAGAATACAGATGAACATAGCTATACTGTGCTCAGATGCCCTTAAAGGTAAAAAATAAAGGGACATTATGAAATAGCGTAAGTAGTTTCATTAAAGCTTTTCATTTCTTTTAGCCTACAACTAGCTACTTTGCTACAGATACAAAAACCTGATGGAGACCAGTACCTCTATACTACATTTTGGCTGACATTTGTCCAGTCATCGCTAAGACCAAGCCATTGTTTTCCTTACACATTTAATTTAACTTCCTTACCTGAACTAGAGAAATTGGCTAGATAAAAGCCACTCTAAAGGGAACTGTATGCATTTCCTGACCAACGAATTTACTCATTCTGCAGATCTTTCTCGGACAAGATGACTTCCCAGCCATAATTTGAAGTCCTCCTTGAAAGTGGAGGAGGAGAAAATTTTACCTGAGAAAATTCAGCCTGAAGTATATCAGGGAGCTCATGCCACCTCTTTGCACAGCCTCAGCGAAAAAAGTGTGCACACTCAGTACATAGTTGATAAGGCCCTTTCATGTATATATTTTATACACTGAGTTAGACGAAAATCCTCTTCTAGCAAGCCAATAACTCTAAATAGAAATCCTATACAAATTCATCAGTAATATAAATGTTAGACAGTATACCAATCTCAGTAAAGTTGTGTCCACTTATTCTAGCAGTGAATATGGTTGCTGGTCTGTTACTTCTCATACCCTGTAATAAGGAAGGCCATGTTGTTTGTATTTAATATAATTTAACTATTACCTGCAAAAACCCAGAGTTATTAAAAAAAATACATTATTTAAATACAGTGAGATGAAACTGGTAGTGAAAGAGTCTTTGAAAGGACTGGCATCGGGTTAAATGCTGTTCCAAAACTCGAAACATTAGTTCCACTTGTCTACCAAACCTAAAACAAAATCAAATGTTTTGGTCAAATTAAATTTTCTTACTTGCTTTTTCAAACCAAAACCTTCCAAGCATTTAAGTTCATATCAAATAAAAAAAAATTGTTTTAATTTCTCAGCTAGTATTTAGCTGAATTTTGTCTTGGTACAATGTTTCATTGTGAAAATTTTAAACTATTAGAAAAAGCTGAAACAAAATACTGTAACATCTTCTACGCATTCTCTCTTTTTTTTTTGCCCAGAACTATTTATTGAATTTAACCTGACTGCAGTGAACACTTGTCCAGATAAGACTGCATTTCTGTCAAATAAAGAAACATTTGTCTAGACTAACATCAAGATCTGGGCCTTGGAAAATAAGTTCTAGGATGCCTAGAGAAATCAGAGGGGGAAACCCAACATGCATATAGCTGAAACACTATATCAGCATTGATATAGCATTAAAAATGTCAGTCATTTTGCTAAGACCAAAAATTTTCTCTTGAGCAAAGTCGTGATCGCGTTGCTGAGTTTCGGGTTTGGGTCTGAAGTGCTGTGCAGAACAGCACTTGGGGCAGAAGAGCCATAGGAGTGTCGTGCTGTGCTGTGGTGTTTGGTGCCACCTACAGATTACTTTCCCACAAGACATGAAAAAAACCCAACCAGGAAGGATCTGGGAAGAAGGTCAAAGCAATGCTTAACAATTCAGCTCCTTAGGTGCTATAAGCCAGTTTCACCCTGGTGACTTCAGAGTACTGAAAGCCCAGTGGCACTTTCCTCCCTCGTCTATTCTCGTACTGTGATTTCCCTATTAAACAAGGATCTGCTGACCATGTCCTATGCACTCAAAACCCATACCAGCCTCAGCCTCCCTCCCAAACGGGAGGCAAAAAAAATTTGGATCCTGATTACCACCTGCATAATCCTCAAATTCCAGAGCTACTCATATTAGGTAAGAATTCCTGCCAAAATTACACCATCATGCTTCACAAGAAGACAAACTTGCATGGGCTTGAGTGAAAAGTCTCAGAATACAGAGTATCTTAAACACAAAGCGGGGATTCACTAGCCTCACTGGAGCCATCTCCATTGATCTGCTTGAAGAGCCCTATGTTTCTGACCTGCATCACTCATTTTAGACAATAACTAGCAATTATTTTTTATGTTCTAGGGACAATTACTTTTGCTGTAGCTCACATAAACAATTACAGCACCATCATGATGTATATATGTTCAGGAGAAGAAGTTTGTTTCATTATTCTGACCCAAGACAAAAGCTAAAATGTAATATTCCTTTCCCCACTGCAAGACACACTCCACTAATGTCAATGAAGTTAGCGTGATGTGAAAATTGGTGATAATGAGAGAAGCTGGCCTTGAAATTTCTGCAGCCAGAGGATGTTCTTGTGATCAGCTCTGAGTATCAGCAATGGGGAGGCCAGAAAGACCCTGTTTCAGACCTTCAGCAAAGAAAAAGTTCTCAAAAAGACAAAGCTCAATTTGACAGGTGTATTTAACTCATCTTAAGAAATGCATTTGAGTTGGATGTTGTGAGGTCTTGTCTACTATTTTTAAAGCATACCTGGAGCTTTTGAAAATAGAGGCCTTTATGCATGTAAATTGCTATTTTCTAACGTGTATTTTATTGAATTGGCATTAAAGAATCACACAAGCCCTGGCCACGTCCCCATAGACAGTAGGCAACTAGTTACTTAAGTCTTTGTAGGGGTTTAGCAAAATTCTATACTTAGTACACAGCACACAGCAGGTGTGCAAGGATGCTACAGCTGCTACTGTACTGCTGCTACACTCAGGGCCTACACCCATAAGTGGTGGTATACTCACTTATTGCCATTAACACCCCAGTTACATGGACACTGGCATTACAGCCAAGGTGGCAGGATAGTCTGTATGCTACATGAATTTAAGGATCCAAGCTGGAACAGGCATGTGATCCCCCAAGACCAACACAAGGAGTGGGAATTTGTTGAAGATGCTGTTATGATATCATGTGTGAGTGCCTTTCTTTGGGGATAAATTGCGATGATTAATCAATAGAGCTGTGGCTAATGAACACAGCCCTGAGCTGTACAAAACTCATGGCTTGAATCTATCTATGAGAAGCTGATGGTCTGTCCCTGTGAAACAGCCTGTGAGCTTAGCATCTAACCTTTAGGAATGCAGGATCACGTTCAAAGAGCTGGTTCCACTATGACATTTCCTCCTAACCTGACTGACTGGGATGAATTCCTGAATTGGCACCAATGCCCACATTTATTCTGCGGAAGTGTTACTGGTACAAGGATGTTCATACTCAGAATCTCTCTTGTATTCTCTGCTTCCTCATAAATGCAATCCTTTGATAAACTTCATTTCCTAATGTGGTGGTGCAGTTCTGGAGGTGATTTTTTTTAAGCAATCTGAACTGCTCTTCTCTCTCTCATTCTCCCCTGTGACACCTAGGTCCACTGCCTTCAGATAAGCAGGAGTTGCTGGATCACTAGAGAGGAAACCATCTTAAAGAAAAAAAAAAAAACAACCACATCAGCACCCTCGTGGTGAGCAACAAATCACCTGGAGCCACTTACCTCATCCACCCGGGCTTGTGTCTGCTGCAGCCGTTTGTTGCTTGACACGTTGGTAGCAGGAGGTAGCCCTGCAGCCCCAGCACTGGTGGGACCTTGGGTAGGAGCTGGAGCAGACCTAGATCAAAACCAGAGAACATAAAAATTGACTGAAACCATCTTTGCTTGTTCACTACCCCTTTTCTGGAGCAAGTCAAAAGTACCTATCTCTTAAAAGGAGTTTTCCATTGTCTCAGCTCACATTTTCCATTCCTGGAGTACAACGCTAGTGTCCCATTCCCTCCCATGCTGTAATTAGTTTTCACGCTATTTCTTGATAGGACCATAGCAAACTCTTCCCCTCCCTTTCCGTCTTTTTAAACAGCAAGCAATTCGATTATCTACCCTAAGTTAGGCCAATGGCCAAACCGATTACAGGACTGACTAGCAGGGCAGAGCTTACGTCCCACTAAGGAAACAGACTCCACTCTGGGTATTTTGTGTTGATGCCATAGGAGCCAGGGCTGCGACCCTGCCTTCCTCCTCAGTGTGCTGAGTGACATTCTCCCCTGCTCCTCAGTGTTTGGCTGGAAGCTAACCAAGTAAAGATAAACAAAAGGAGAGGAGAAAGAAATGGAGAAGGAAGTGGGGGTAAGAATTGCACATAGCATGGGGTTAGTCATCTCAGGCATTCAGCAATGTTTAACCACCCCAACGGTGGTCACCAAATGTCCCACCAGAGCAGCTGGCCAGGCTTGAACATCTGCCACAGACCCTGAATGAATATTTGCAGCAATGCTGTGAACAGAGCCCTGATCTCCTGTGCATCAGCTCTTTTCTTAAGCATCAACACTGGCTTTCCCCAGCTTGCTGTAAGACAAAACAGAAGTCCCTTAAAATCCACCATGAGATCCATCTGTCTCAGTCCACGAGCTTGTGCAGAAAAGTCATCCTGCCAGCCTGAACAAAGTCCTTCAACCTTAGCCAGTCGTTCTTCACACCCACACTTGAACCTGTGAAACCTTACCTTTCCTTTCAAGGGACCCCTGTCACTTCTTCCTGCAGTGAAATAAAGCCCTTCCTGAAGCTGCAGAGGAAATCCCTAAGCATGTGAACTGAAAAATACCACAAATCCCACTCATGCATTGCCAATGCCTTCCCACAGTGGCAGAATGAGGGAACACAGTGTTTTTCTGTGAATCATTCCCTTTTACATTCTGAGGTCTCATTAATGCTGCTGGAATTAAAGCCTCATTAATACAATGTCAAAGTGCCTAGGGCCACTAAAGTTAGTTCCCCAAAAGTACCTTAAGCTGCAAAATTCAGTTTGACAGTATTGCCTGTGGGCTGAGATCCCTACAGATAACGCTGACTCTCACAGAGTCCCAGTGATGGAGCAGCTGTTTGCAGAACCACAGCACCGCTGTATCTTACACTTCTTGTTTTTTAACTGTGGGTGAGAACGTCATTATCAAGCTTTAGTTGAAAGAAAAGAACTTGAGCCACAGACAAATTGGTCATCCTTTGAAGACCTCACAGCCACTATTAAAAACATAAAAGACCAGATGCTGCTGCCACCTGCAACGGAATTACTCCATTGAAGGGCCATGGGCCAGGATCCCAACAGGATTTATTCTGAGTTTACGCTGTTGTCACAAAGGATCAAAATCTGACTATAATATATATCAGACTCAAATAACACAAAACAAGATCTCCCCAGACCATTAACAACTTCAAAGGGAGTTTCTTATACAACAACAAGAGCTAAAATTGAAATTGTAAAATTTCTTTGCAGTCAAGGAAGTAAACAGGCTTTTTTCCAATCAACCCAAGCAGAATTTTTTCTATGGAAACATTGTGACACACTGTTCCCTACTACAAACATTAACAGAGCTGCCCTCTTGAGCTATGTACTGTTAGCAACCCAGAGCTACATAAGCAGTGTGTAAGAAGTGTTTTTCCTGGCCATGTATTTTTGCTACTAAGCATAGCTTATAAGTACAGTGGTGTACTTGGTCAAAGCTACGTGATAACTCACAAGTTCAGTGCTCTGCCATATACCTTTTCTGCACAGTAATTTTCACCTTTTTTTGCACGTCTCAAGCTGTCCTTAAAATGACTTGGCGTAAAGTAGACACTTCCCAATTTGTTCTCTTCCAGCATCCTTGCTGCCGTCTCATTTGGTTTCAACTGTATTTCCTGGGGCTTCTCTGCTTCCTGTGTAAGGGAGGAATGGATGGGAATAACGGGTATTTTTACAGCTGCCCTGACCATCCAGCAGGAGTTACTGTAACTACCAAAGAGAGATGGCAATCTTTATGCTAAGGTACAGCAAGCTTGTAATTAACATACCTATCTTCATTAATTACATAAAATCTAATACAAGAGCAACCAGAGCTGGGTGCTGCCTGCAGCGCAGAGCTACTGTTTCCAACCCTTTTGTCTCTGGAGTTGTGCTCTCCTTACACAGTAACAGCAGCTGCCTCACTTACGGCCTCAGCGGTCAGAGCCATGAGCTGCCAGAAGCAGCAGAGTGCTCACCAGAAGAGGTGCAGCACCTGCTACAGAAGGCACAGCACAGGTGCCCGGACAGGCTCTAGGAAGTCAGTCCTTAAGCACAGGGCTTTAATGCCACCAGCAGCTCTTGCAGGTCAACAAGCCATGAGCCCTCTCTTGTCATTAGGCAGCATGTAATATCCAAAATAGACAAAACAAGCACAAAGATACCTGCATCATCTCTCCTCCTCCTGGCCTCCCAAGGTAGTTCAGAACAGGACAGAGATGTCTCCATGCTCCTGGCTCAGCCCTACCAGTGTTTGAGCTCTGTAGAAAGCATCCTGGCCAGGCAGCAGCAGAAGGCAGTACCTCTGTGAGCTAATGTGGTTCCAGTCCCACAAGGCGTCCGTTAAGAGTTTGTCTTTGAACCTAGTAAAGAAGGGGATTGAAGGCCTACACCACTGGAAAGCACCAATATTCTCTAGGATATTTTAGTGCAAAAATGCTAGAATGAATGTCCAACCTACATTTACATAATTACTCTGTTATTGCCTCTGTACTGTGTCATACCAGCTTATAATTTCTCAGAAGCATTATCCTAAGAAATTTATGCAAAACATTAGCACTATGTTAGAGAGGCTTTCTTTTGAAATATATGGAGCATCACACCCTTGAAGTCCAATTTCCTGTGGCCTGGCATGATTTTCGGGAGCTACAAAAGAATGCAAAATCCATACGAAAGCTCTGTCATTGGGCCCCAAGCCATTAGACTTGTGTACTATTTTCTTTTTTTAGGAAAAGGAAAAGGAAAAAGTTACCATTGATGCTGAGAATCTTCACTCCCAAGAATAGGTCAAATAAATTTTGAAGGGGGAACAAAGCTCTGTTATTGTTGGTAAAAAAAAAAGGTATAAATCCCTAGCAAATATTCTCAAATGGCAACCACTTTGTGCAGAGCACTGGGGTACATTCTGGGAGAGTGACAAGTACACTTACTTCAGGACAACTGTACCACATGCTTAGACCCTTGGCACCTTGGTCATTCTTTATATAACAGTAGTTTCATCCTCGCTCCCCACCATGCCAGATTTTGCTTCATTTAGCACATGAGCAATCTGACTGATTGAAAGCAGGTGCTGGATCTGTGTATGTATGCAGCCACCTAGGAAGAAACATTTGGGGACTCTCCCAGTGATTTAGTAAAATGCTCAGCTGATTCAGGCATCCTCAGTTCTTCTGGTTACTTGCTGGGCCTGAAACTGGTAGGTCAAAATCATGACCGAGAGATTTCTCATCTCACCTCAATATTTTGGAAGCAATTTACTACTTAGCTCTAATGGTTAAAGGGAGCTGCAACTCTAATTAAGAGAGTATTGGAGATATCCAGTGTTACTGTTTTCCATTTCAGCACATGAAAGAACGTTAAGGATGACTGTGTACCTAACGTTTTGGGGAGCTGCCTGACACATACTTACATTTTTGTTCACATGTGTGAGCTACGTAGGAGAAATTTCTTTGTGTTAGGTTAGGGAAGGGAGATGCACAATGCGAATACCGGGAGGATGCCAGGCGACCACTGTGACTTTGTTACAGTTTACATTAGGACCTCAATAGCTGCTTTCAGCAACTTGTTTTAACCATCCAAAGTGCTTTTTAAAGCCTCCAGCTATAGGACCTAATACCTTCAAAGTCTTTATCCTAACAACACTGCAATAAGCTAAGGAAAAGCTATTATCCCTGCATATGGCTGGGAAACAGGTACAGGGAGATTAAGTGACTTGCTCAGTGGCACAGAAAGCCTGTGACGAAGCAGCGCAGGCCTCTTCTGTGCCATCCTTTTGCTCCCCTCTTCTTCAGCTACTGCCTCCAAATAAAAGCTCACAACCCATTTCTAATAGCAGGAGTTATTTTCTACCCCTCAGACTTAAATAGTGAGAAACACACAGTTAAAGATTACAGCACGAGGAAAAGTGTGAATTACATCAGACAGCTTTAGCTGGTATCAGCTGGCAAAGCTCAGGAGAAGGGGCAGTGAAAGTGCATCAATGCAGCAGATTTGACTAATGATCCCTATAAAAAGCGAAATGAAGGAGGCAATTTTCTATGAATCCCAGTTTCCTCTTTCCTCGAACCCTTTCCCTGTTGTTCAAATAAAACATAAAATTGCATTGCCTCTCTTCCTCTTTATATTTTTACTGTCCAGGTACCATATTTATATAGTAAATATTTACTGTTGTAACCAAACTTAGGTATAGTTAAGGCACTGTTCTTCCATTTGGACCCCTTCAAAAGGCACCTACCCATTTGGGCTTCACTGCTTAAGTGGGGTTTGACAGTCTGTGGTTCCAAAGGCATTTAAAAACAAAACAGAACAAAACACAAAACTCCCCTTTATTTAATTGTAAAATAAATCAGAACACTTCCATATCCCTGTACTCTTGAGATTTAACTCTAAAATAATTACTAAAATTAGCTACAAATGCAAATTCATACACTATTTTATTGACTATGGATGTCAGTGAAGATCCTGGACCTAACAGTAACTGTAGAAACAAACCACTCTCACGTTGTCCCTGGTGCTGAGAGTGTTCATCTGTGAATTTAGATGCATCCGAAAGCTTTGAGGCAGGGAGGATCTCTAAGGAAATAAAGGAGCTCTATAGCACTAGGGGTTTGCTGTTAGTTTTGAACTTGCTTTGTTTATTCCTATGCAGTAATAGCTAAAACAATTTTTCCACTGCTAATTTGCAAAGGGGTCGTTTACTGATAATACTTACAAGTCTTCTGCTTTCTAGAGGGATTTACTAGTTCCCAGTTTTCTGTTAATCTGATTCTACTACATAGGATTTTATTTCTGCAGTAGGTCACTGGCACAAAAGCTTTCTGAACAATCAGTTTGGCTACATGCAGTTTGACACAGTCCTAACAAAATCCAGTCTAACCAAAGAGGGCAGACTAAAATTCAGTGCTATCCTATTTACATGCCATCTCTCAAAGAAATTGGTACCTTGGATATCTAAACTCCTTAAAGTTCTGAGCCTTCCAGATTTGTGTGCTTAACTGTACAAACTTAACAATAGTACAGGCCCAACACAGCTCTGTGTGGACAATTATGTTTCTGTTTGTGAATATATAGATGTGTGTGTCTAGAAATCAAGAGACATTAACTATTCACCCCAACACCTCCTATCCAAATTTTTGCTTTTCCTATAGTGAAATGGGATAGTGTCAAATGGCAGGTCCTGTTACTCTTTCAAAACCACACACTAATTCTGTCAGGAGAGGTTCAGAGAAAAGACGACTTACTTCTAATGCCCCTGTAAAATTAAGTGTCCTTCAGAATTAGCTTCTCAGCCTTCTTGCAAGTAGATAATGATGTTCTCTGCCTGTAAGGTGAGAGGACTCTTCAAAAGAAAACCGTGGCTAGAGAGCATGACCTATCCAGTTCCAAGATAAATGCACGCAGTAAGGTAATTTTCTTTTCAATTCAGTTGCCCACTAATAGTATGTATTTCAGATTTTTAGTTGATCTTCCCCTCTCCAGTTATTAACTAGCCTATTTTAATGGGCTAAGTTTACCCTTGTTTTCATCCTACTAATATCACTTTCAGAGGGGAAAAAAATAAGTTGCTCTATGGGAGTAAAGAAAGTAATGATATTATAAAACTGGTTAGGGTGAAAAGATAATTAGGATATTGACAGGGGAGTATCACTGCTGGGCTAGTAGACATTTGCATACTTGGGGGTGGAGGGATTTTCAGACTATGGAAAGATGTTTTCAGTCCCCTGAGATTTCACAGAGGGAGCAGAATTAACTCCCAACAAGAGCAAAACAGGCTTCCTTCGCTACCAGGGAACCATCACTGCTTTAACAGAGATGTTGTTCTTAACTGTGCTTTCCAGTGTTCCATCTGAGCCCTTCAGTATTCAGTAAAAATGTGACTATTGCCAATTAAATGGCTACAGACTTTAACTTAGACTCATTCCATTCTATGACTATCAATTTTAAAACAATTTCTCATGCTATTTGTAATAATTGGGTAGTAATGAGTAATAGTGAATTGGCGGTAGAAAAAAACCAAACACCTATAAAAGGAATTAGTATTTGAGTTGTCTTAATTTTGTGAAGAAGTTATGCTTTGAACACATTTCTGTTCCCAAATGTGATTTTAATGTACTACCAGTAATATTCTACAAGGACTCTCCCTTATTACAAAATATTTACTCTGATCATCAGCCAAAGAATAATACCCTACATTTAATGTCCTGGGAACACATTAATTAAATATTCCCACCAGTTTATTATGACTGCATTGACCATCTGGTGTGCTAAATATGCACACAGAAGAAAAATAGAGGAACTTTAAGACATCATCTTTAATTTGATGATCATTTGTTATGCAAGTAATGACTGACTAATTTATCTTCTCCAGTATCTTCTATTCAAGCCAAATGAGTATTACTTACAAGGCCCAAAGCACCTGAATTCTAAATCAAGCCAATTAGTTCAGCCAAATTATTTTTGTGACAAACATAAGAATTTGCCAGAAAGAGTTGCATTATTTCCATAATTTCTCTAATTTGTAGTCTTCACAACAACCAGTTGCGGTGACTTAGGTGGGGTTTCTGTTAGTCAGAAAAGTAACACAAGGCAAGACTCCTTTTCTGAAATATCAACACTACAGATTTTTTTAGATCCTTCTTGCCCCTTGCTGTCATCTTTTGCAAAGGCTGTAGCTTAAGATAAAGTCAACACAATACAGGGATATTGATTCATGTGTTGTGTTAACCACTGACCACGCTTTGCAGAGTAGTCGATGGATTTGCCTAAAGGATGATTAAGGGTTAGATGACTCAGGGCATTAGTGTACGCATTTTATGTTCACAAATTAAAAACTCAGAACTACACTATAGAAGCCAACCATCTAACATATGCTAGTGTTAAGTGATCACCTCTCCAAAAAAGCACCTGCACATACAAACTAATTCTACCATGTCATGCCAGTTGACCAGTCTCTTCTTCACATTTAACTAGACAAAATCAAGGTTTAACAAAAATGTATGGAACTAATGAAGCAGACAACCAAGCAGACAGTGACCATTATAACCTGTAACCTATCTGATCCACTTAAAAGAGCTCAGTCTGCTACTTAAAATGCAGTTAAGAATTGTGTTGACCCAGACTAGACTAACCAAATCTGGGCTCTAACACACTGTGATACAGGTTTTAATTTTTACACCATAGCACTTGCTTCTCCAAAAACAATGGCAGTGATGAGGGTTCCCCATCTCTTCCCAGAGAGGCAGAGCAGCAAATCAGGTCTCTCTGGGAATAACTGCAAGACAGAAGGAAGAGCCCCATATTACTGAGCACCCAATGGAGCTGGTTAGCTTGTGGGGCAGCCCCACTGCACCCTTGCTGCACGTGGGACCTCTGCTCGCCTACTGTCAGTCAGGCACACTGGAGCAGGGAATCTCCACTGCCCTGCTCAGATCAGCAGGGGACTTTGCCCCTAACAGACCTCTGCATTAGACTAGCTACACCTCTGGGTAATCTCTGATCAAATTATGTATCTTTTTTCACAGCTACAAGGACTGCAGATCTATATACTTAAATACAGAGAACTGAAATAACTAAACTACTCTAAAGTAAATAATCTCCTTTTTAGGTCATTTCCTCAGACTGACCAGTGACTTTAGCCAATTTTAGTCCCATATTGTTGGGATTTTTTTTCTTAGAAAAGGGTTAATTCTCATTATTTGCTGATTTGAAACTGACTGTAATCTTTATACTAAATAAGGTTTATTTTCATTAGAGAATGAAAGCAAATACAGGTGTAAGCAATTATAAAAAACATTATCTTAATATTTATATTGACATTAACATTATATTGTGAAAAAAGAGAAATGTAATTTATTGTTTTCTAAATTTTGTTTGTTTAAATTCTTAATTTGCATCAGGCTGCTTTTGGATAGAAATTACAGTTTAGTAAAAACATGTGGAAAATCCATCATGTGAAATATTCATGATAGTTAATAAATAAAAAATATCTTCAGTGCAATGTCTACACAGAAAAAAACACCAGAACACTGTATTGCCCTAAAAGGAAATTTTTAAAAGGAAGTATTATCTCTAGTTCCTAGGTAGTATTGACTGTACCTTCTATTACTTCTTAAAAGATTTCAGAATTAGCAGGTTTCAGGTTCTTAAAGTAATTTCTTGTCATTAACTGAAAGAATACAAGCTTTTTTTTTTTTTTTACTTTCCTCAATTTGTTAACCTTGAGTGTCTGTGTTATGATGTGGGCTAAGGGCAATAAAACTGGCACAAAGATCAGTTCTGTAATCTGATTTTGTCACAAGACGGTTACTATTTAAAATTAGTTGAATATACATCAAATGTAGCACTCAGCATGGGTTGCCAATTTCAAATAGATTGAAAGGTGTAGGTAAATGAACATACCATCATGAAAAAGACTAGAATTTTGTTGAAAAAAAAAACCTCCTTATCCTCCATCAGACCCATATGTTTTTATCTTAATCTAGCTCATTTGAGTTGATGTGGTCTTAAACTCCATCCCTGAGAGCTCTTGACTTTGCAAGGTGCATTGGTAGCAGCCTTTCTCCAGTTACTACAGCTCTGTGTTTCACACTGAAGTTACCTTACACACCTGGAAAAATAACGCAAAGACTGATCATCACAGGAAGAGTTGCACTTTTCTCCCTAGAAAACTTTATTAAAGGAATTTTAGTTTATAAATAGGACAGTGCTTTTACTGGGCATAAAAACAAACAACAAAAACCCACAAACAAAAACAGATTCAACAGAGAAATCAAATCCTCGATAACAAAAAGCCTTTCTTTTTCTTGTGCTAAGTTACTGATCTGAAATTAGGAAAAGAGAAAACTGATTGCAAACTGAAACAACACTGGATTAAAGCAGAAAATCGCCAAAGCATACCAGGCTGGGGGAGAGAGGAAGCCTAACAGAACAAAGCTTCACTCAGTGTCTTAGTGAGATATGTCTGAAACAACTCAAGAATAAAGCAATAAATACGCTGAAAATGCAGTCAGTATCATTGCTGTCATTTTCTTCTCCATAATGGAAGAAAAAGAAGAAACACAATCTGTCTTGGAAACTATAGGGGAAAGATATAAATACCAAATACGTTGCTAGAGAAATGTTTCAAAAATTCAGGAATCTTAAGTCAGAGTACATTTGAACAAGCCAATGATGTTAAACATCCTGGTCTGCCAGATATTCCAGATTCACAAATCTCTATTTTCAACCTCCAGAGCAATCACTAAGGACACAGTTTACTGGAAATGGCCAGCTTTAAGCAAAGTCCCAACTCCTATTTCTGAACAGGAGCCGATGTACTTGAAGTTCATGCTAACGTGGTACGTTATGGATAGACTTCACCTATGTTTCTCGTGCAGAGGAGTAAGAGCATCCACTATTTCTAACTTTCTGTGTAGGCTTCCAGTATCATGGGCTATACCCAAAGGAGTAAACAGGCAGCAGCTGGGCAGGGAGTGGGAGGGAAGGATCAGAGTAGAGTTTGACTCAGCCATCCCCTACTCACTGACTCACGTACTGGTGCAGACAAAACTGCTGTAACTTGTTGCTGGTTGCAGTCAGTTAAAAGTTCAGTAAGATACAGAGGAGCAAGAAAGACTCTCAAAGAAAAGGTAAGATTGATATGCTTTCCCTGCTTTTAAGTAATATTTTTTGGATCAAGGATGTTTTCTGTGCCTGTCTTTTGAGAGACCCAAATTAAAACCTAGGAGGCTTGGGGGCTTTCCATTTGCCTGTAAATTACTTCCCAGCATTCCTGTTGCACTTTAGAAGGAAATAAACTATTAACATGCTTTTTTTTTTTTTAATGAAAAAAGCCCCAGCAACAACAAAACAGTTGAAAGAAAAATCACATTTCCAACAGCAGTGAAATGTTCTTGTAGCCTTGCTATGTACATCATCTATTCAGTGGCAGTTTCATCACAGCTGAACTTTATAGGGTAATAACCATCCTTACTTATATTAAAGCTTAATTATCAGGAGGCTTATTAAGCTTAAATCTTCTCTAACTACTTGGCCAAGAGAACTACCATGAACATTTTATCCCACCTATTCATTACTTAAACAGCAGTCACACAGTATGTGCAAATGTTAAGAGGGAATAGCAGAAGTATCTGTACAGAAAGCCAAACTTTCATCCTTATTTCCCACAAAATGTCATGTTCAGTTCTTGAAAAGCTTCCATGAAATGTAGCTACCATTTGCAAGTGACCATGTCCTTATCACAGGTGCTCCACCTTCCCACAGTGTTATGATTCATATGCAATGTATTTTCTCCCCAGTTTCAACATCCATCAATTACTGAAACTAGATTCCATTTAACCAATCAAATATACTAAAGCAATAAAAGAAAACTTCTCATTTCAAACTCTCATTGAATGAAAAAAAACAAAACCCCAGAACATTTTGAATACAACAAAACCAGAGTTTTAAAGACCTTTTAAGGAAGATCTTTAAGACTACTTTGCCAAATAAATCATCTGGCAAATGAATATGAATTCATTAAATACTGCCTAACAGAAAATTATACAAACCATATTGAAACATGTTTTAAGCACTTTAAACATGTAAAATAAGATTTGTCTATATCATCATAGCTATTTCTCCTAAATTCTTTAGACTTCCCATCCTCATGGGATCACTGAGAGCCTTGTAGTTTCCCCTTAGACTATGCTCCCATCTTTATCTTACCATCTGTCTTTCTCTCAAAATTCTTATTTTTTTTTAATGACCATCTTTGCTTTACACAAAGACCTATGTTTAAATCACATTTCCAGAACCCCTAGTGTGATTTCAGAAGCTTACAGACACACTCTGTGGATCAGTGCTGAGGCTGAGATACAGCACCTGATTTTCTAATTTAGTTGAGGTATTTAAATCAACATTGTGCACACCTGTACATTTGCAAATTGCTACAGTCCAGAAACTGAACTTCAATTTTGCTTTTTTTTCCCTAAATAAATCCATAAACTTCTACTAATTCAGTAAAGACCAGTTTATCTTGGTACTATCTTTTAGTCGTTACACTCAAGAGACTGCCTTTTGCTATTTGTTAAAATGCTTAGACACTTTTTGCTGAAAATCTGTTGTGAGTTGCATCATTATAAGTGGTCTTTGGGGTTCTCTAGATAAATGGAAACACTCTCCTCCATGTCTGCTGAGTGAGTATTGCTATTTTGCTTAGCATTCATCTGAAACTTGGAAGTTAATTATTTTTACAATGCTTCAAAAGTAATCACTTGTTCCTCATGTCCTTTTTTGAAAACAAAAATGTAATTAGGATTGAGAAGAAATGTTTGAGATTTAAATCTGTTATGCTTTAAAAGTCAAAGACTTAATCAAAATTTGAACTGTCCATATGTTATTCAAGCGAGAACTAAAAACTGGCGAGAATCATATTTGGGACAAAGCAATCCATTTACAATCAACCGTAAAGTCCTGTTTATATTAACAAAGAAAAAGTCAGATCACTGAAGCATTCCCATAGCTAACATTTCCTGCCCTCAAAGCTACTCTTCAAGCTCTCCCAGTCTTTCCATCTGTGTTACATCCCTTGAAGGGCAAAGTATTCCCTCCTGCTATTGTGATTGGGATACAGATACATACTTTAGTTTAGAAACAAATGTTATTCATGCAGTTTGTTTCCATAAAACAGCTAAATAACTTTCTACAGCTATCCCAACTAAATATTGGGAATTAAATCCACCTGTCCACAACAAATTCAGCCCACCTACAGCAAGATTCAATGCATTGAGCCATTTTTATTATTTTTTTTTTAATTCCTCTTTGGCTACTGTATACATTTTCATTTGAGTCGTCGTGCTGGTGCCAGTGCTGTAATGCAGGCCTCACACAACAGGTTTCAGATGTACAGTTCTTCAAACACTATTAGGAACCATGATGACGCGCCAAACAGAGGAAGAAACGTGCTGGGCTGTAACCAGTTCCCTGGGTAACAAAGAGATACTATTAAAAGAGAAAGCGGTACCACGGTGGTAAATAAATAAACGCATACAATAAAGGCCTACAAGCATGACTAACTTTCCTAGATACTGCAGAGAATAGAGAAGGGCAGAGCATGTAAATTTATGCACCTTGTATCTGTGAGGAAACAAAAAAATTCCTCACCAGTTAGAAGGTCAAATAATACCCTCATTCACAAGTTCCTTTTAGGCAGCCAGGAACACTGCCTCCCTGTCCTTTCCCTCTTACCTCCCCACTACTTTCCCAACTCTCTTTCACATTACAAACAGCTACTAAGCAACAGAAGATTTGCAGAGAATGAGTCATTCTCATGTGGCTGATAGGCTGAGTGCAGGATGGAGATTAGTGACCTGACAACGCACAGTCCCAGAATCATTGTGTTTCCAGATAACCAAGACGGTCACTGAATGCAGCAAAACTTAATAAATGATAAGTGCTTCAAAAGGATACAATTATAAGTCATGCCTTTATAATTCTCACAGATAGATGTGTTAGCCTAGAAAGAAGACTGCTATATGTTAGATGCACAGTTGACACATGGCATTAAGCATACCATACCTATGAGGTATTCCCTTAAAGTTAACTAGCCAGTAATAAAATTAGATTTTATTTAAATGGCAATATGAAATCTTTAGGCTTTGGACTGATAGTAAAAATTTGGGGAACTAAAAAAAGGGAAGTGGGACATAACCATGCAAGGTCACTCAGTTCCCAATGCAAGCAACAGATTTTGACATAACTGGGAGTGTTTCTGGCAGAAGACATCCTTTTGACTGAGGTTCTACCTTTTTTTTTTTTTTGCCTCCCCTAACAGAATAATGGAAAATAGAAAATTTATCTGGAAAAGGCCTCAGGAGTTCATCTTGACCATTCCCTTATCTCCAGGCAGCACTGACTTCTACTTCAGATTTGAAACAGGTTTGTCTGCCTCAGCCTTGTCTGTTTTTTCCCCCAACGATATTTGTATCAGACAGTTTCATGGTTCATTTAGCACTTTTAACTCAAGCAACGCTCCTAGGGCACCAGACAGAGCCATTAATCCTTGCAAGTATGCTTTGCAATACTTAGTGTTAGGGCCTCTAAGTGAGGGCTGGCCAAAGTGTTATCTGTAGCATAGGTCCAATTCAATCATTAATCAGCTGAGGGACTAGAATATCTAGACAAAAAAAGAGTTGTGAGCTGTGAACATGAAGAACCTTGGTGCCTGCATGAAAAACTTAACAGCAAGCTCTTTATTTTATCCATGAAGTCCTAGAGTGGCTGAACATCTGCAAAGCAATTCAGTACATGAAATTAACAGAAGTCACTTTCCTTGCTAAGTTTGGTGGAAATCTCACTGACTCTGGATGAAGTGTCTATGAAATCTTTTGCAAAGTACATTTTAACCTGTGAAGGGACCTGTTCAAATCCAAGCAGAGTTCTCTCATTACCTGTTCTCTTTAAAACCGGGTTGATTCAGTTTCCTAGTCTTAAATAGAATTGGCTAACTTCCTAAAAAACTCTAATAATATACTCATAAAAACATTAAAATTTGCAGTACCAGCTGTCTGTGAATATTTAAATGAGTGCGTTAACCGAGACAAGTGTTATCAGAAAGATAAACTACAATGTTATTGGAAAAAACAGATTTTGACGCCTGATTCCAGTGTTCAAACTGAGGAGGAAATTACAGAATTAATCCAGCCAAAATGAATAGACCACATTTCAGTTATTTCCATCAGATTTCAAGTAAAAACAACTAACAGCTTGTGAGTAACCCACTAAATAATAGTTCTCAGAGATTACTTTCAAATGATTTTTCAAAAAAATTGTTAGATGCTCAGACTTCTCATAGGCAATTACAATTTGAAAAGTCAAAGAAACAATAAGCTGTGAAGCATTGATTCACTTCAAAATCATAGAAGTTACTAGTGCAAGATTTTGTTATGCAGGCTATTTAAAAGAGACTGAAGCAATTCCACATATATTTATGCAAGAACATATATATATATGTGCGTCTGTATGTATGCATCTCAAAACCTCAAAAACAGTGACCATTAGAGCTCAGGGAGAAGATGCTAGACATTAGATTATTCTCCAGTCTATCAAACAAAACCATAACGGTCTAAGATTAGTGGGTTATCAATTCAAATGGTTAAATGAAGGCTAGACTCCAAAAAAAAAAAAAGCCCTGAACATCAACAAACCAATCCTTGCTGTAATTCAAACAAATCTGTAATGGCTTAAAAAGTAAACTGTGAAATAATAAAGCTACATGACACAAGAAGTCAGAATTTAATGGCATTTTGGCCTTAGTCTGTGTTTCAAGCTGCAGTTTATTTGGAAAAAA